AACACATTTCCAGCTCCTAACAGGCAGCCTGTGGAATGCCAAGGACCCTCGGGTAGGCTGCAGAGGATTTATGACTGTGAAATGGTAGGCAAGTTTTTTTGTGACAAGCATACGGGCTTCTTCTAGAGTGAGGGTCCATGGCTTTGGACATGTTTGTAGACCTTGGATTCCCAAAGGGATGAGATGTACTGGTCCTAAGGAATGAAAAAAAAAAAAAATGGAGACGCTATGACAAGGCATGATCACAGCTTCTCTCTTCCAAACAACGGATGGATACGAGCCTAGTGAGGTCCTTCCAAGTACGCAATGGCTATCACAGACATAAATGAAGACAGTGGGGTAGCAGGAACCAACGTGGGCATCTTCTCTAGCCTGTGCACGTCTTATGACCTCCTTGTTGCCTCTGTACCTTGGCAGTCCTCTGGGTCAGTGCCATCTGTTCATGCCAGGTGCATTCACTTTGCAGCTGGAGGGTAAACACTGCACCTTCTGGTTCGCATCTGGGACCAGTACACAACATGAGCTGGGGGGCACCAGATCAGGGTGTACCTCCCCCACTTCTGGTGCATGAAGCAGTTCAGGGAACGAACGTGCCTGCCCTTTAAACACATGTACTGCCTGTTTGGGGCTAAATGGGAAATCGCCTTGGAACCAGGGTCTAAAAGGCAAGTGCATCTTCTTCCCTGTTCTGAATGGTGTGATATAGAGGGACTTTAAAAAGACCAGCCAAACCATTCACTGGCCTAAGGACTAACAGGAAACAAAACTTTAGCTATTTTAAAGGGGAATACTGAGACTATTCCCCGATACTGCTTATCCCCAGTCAGGGTACACCTTTGCTCAAAGCACACTCTTCTCTTTGCGTGGTTACTGTCTACCACCCTGTATTTGATGACTTTGTCCACTGGCTTATCCACAGTGTCACCATTAGATTCCAGGACGAGAGGTGACATCACGGGGTGCTGACTTTGACAGCACCACGTCCAACAAGCTCAAGGGTTTTCCGCCGGCTCTTTCCACCCCAAACCCTTCCTGTCCAAATAAGCCCTGGGCGCATGCAAAGTTCTCACTAAGACTTTCCTGAGACCCAGCAGTCACCGCCAGCGGCGGAATGCACAGCAGCCCTCAAACCCTACTTCTACACCAGTTAGTGGCATGACTTCTCCATCCTACATGGGTGTAACTTCCATGCCGTCCGTAAGCTTCCAGTTCGACCCCTGTCAGACAGCACTGACCATAACCGGAGCCTGCACCGGAGCCTGCCTCACTTGACTGGGCAGGAATGAAATGAGGTCACCCACAGGGCCTGCAATAGTGAGAGTTGGTGATTGACAAGGTAGATGCTTAGTATATGTTACTCCTAGATCATTTCAGTAAGGCATATAAAGCAGGTGAGCATGGCACTGTATACCAGCGCCCATCCCAGAGGTACAGTCACCTAACCTCTGTAGAAAGCCTAACCCAGACCGTCTAACCCAGAAATGAGTCCTAGCCCAGTCCGCCTATACCCTTCCCTGAGACCCTGGGAACTGCCTTTTTCTCAAGGCTAAAAGGGTAGGATCTAGTAGTCCCAATGTCGTCAGTGGCCACATTCCCTACTCTGAGGAGAAAGTACGGCCACTAAGAGAAAGGACAATAAACAAGAGAGTTGATACGGAGGACAGACCTAGGGTCACTGAAGCTGGTCTCCCTGCTACTCAGGCCAGCTGTATTTTTGCCTCCCATGAGAACTGGGCAAACAACAATTCTGGGGCGGATCCTTAATCGGAGCCATTCTTTAGCCAAGGCGACTTTGAACTCCACATGCACCCAAGAGAGCAAGGAGCCATGGACAGTTCGCATCCTAGGGGAGAATGACTTTTATTTAAGGGGAGGAGGAAGATGAGGGGGGAGTGAAAAACAGAAGAGGGAGAGAAGTAAAAAGAGGAGGAGGAATAGGGAGGGGAAGAGGAAGAAGAGGAGGAGGAAGAGCCCTTCACTAAAGCACTGAGCTGAACATTCTACCAGCACCATGTGCTCTGTCCCCCACCCCGGACACTCCGCACAGTGGCCATCATATTTATCCTATTTTAAGGAGGAGAATGCTGAGGTGCCCAGAGGTGCCTTCTTGAGGCTACGCATTTTGGAGCACATCATTGCTGGCCCCTTCCATCCCACACGCCTAACCTAAGCCAAGATCGTAATAGCCCTCAAGGTTAGACCGAGGATGGGAATACAGTTTTCATGGGCCAACCTAGAGAAAAGGGCTTGGCCTCTGGGCATTGTGCCACTCCTGCAGGGGACACAGCCGTAGGAGGAAGCTAACCACAAGAGAAAGGGGCCCTGACAGTTGCCACAAAAGTAGACATCTCAGGTAAGCTGAGTTTGAACTTCAGGTAAGCAATGACTTACACTTTAGTAAGCGTGTCTCCAACACTGAATGACATGCATCCTAAGAGAGCATCGGCTATCTGACTCCAAGTCTACCTGGGTACCCTGCATTCTTAATTGCCTAACACGCCTCGGAGGAGAGAAGAGGGTACCACACGCTCAGGACACTGCTGCCCACAGAGCCCTTTGCCTGCCCCATCCACAAAGGCCATCATCCCTCCTTGACCAGCTGCACGGTTCAGAGTTCTATCATTTGCACCCCATCCTGTGTCTCTGGGGCCAGGCAGGCAGGATGCTCAGCCCAAGCTCCATCATCATATTCATTCCCAAAGGGTTGGGAACCGAGTACTGCACTAAAGCAGCAGCACTCACGCTTGGCACCTTGAACTTGTATTTTTAGAACGGTAAGGATGCAGCTTGACAGACGAACTGGAATTCATCAGATTCTCCTCAGACGATGTAAATGTGTCATTATAAAGTCACAGAACACGAATGCACTTAAAACTGGAAAACTCCTTCATGAATACTAACAAACTCTGAAATCACAGGGAAGATGACTGCCTACAGCTATCAAAAACACCCAGCAAGCCAAGATTAAGGATTTCAGTTTTTAAACAGTAATGATAAACTCCCATGTAATTTTGTTTAGAAAAAAACATCAATTAGCCACACAGAAAAATTAGACTTTGGATCAAACACGGAACATTATAAACTAGTCCCATAGAGCAGGAAGGAGCGTTCGAGTGAGCAGCGTGGACAGGTGGATATGGACGGCAGTGCCATTTAAAGATACAAGTCACACGCGTACGTGTGTGTGTGTGTGTGTGTGTGTGTATGTGTGTGTGTATGTATGTGTGTGTGTGTTATATGTGGTGTGTGCATATGCGTGTGTGTTATATGTGGTGTGTGCATGTGTGTATATGTGTGTGAGTGTGTGTGTGCATGCGGTGTGTGTGTTATATGTGGTGTATGCATGTGTGTATATGTGTGTGAGTGTGTGTGTGTGTATGCGGTGTGTGTGTTATATGTGGTGTATGCATGTGTGTATATGTGTGTGAGTGTGTGTGTGCATGCGGTGTGTGTGTTATATGTGGTGTATGCATGTGTGTATATGTGTGTGAGTGTGTGTGTGTGTATGCGGTGTGTGTGTTATATGTGGTGTATGCATGTGTGTATATGTGTGTGAGTGTGTGTGTGTATGTGGTGTGTGTGTTATATGTGGTGTATGCATGTGTGTGTGCGTGTGTATGTGTGGTGTAAGTTATGTGTGTGTGTGTGTGTTATATGTGGTATGTACATGTGTGTGTGTTATATGTGGTGTGTGCATGTGTGCATGTGCGTGTGCATGTGCCTGTGTATGTGGTGCATTTGTGTGTATGTGTGTGTATGTGGTGCGTCTCTGTGTATATGTGTATGTATGTGGTGTGTGTGTGTGTGTGTGTATTTGACACTGTTCACTGCATCAAGTATCTCAAGATAATGAATATGAATTTTATGTGCAATACGTTGTACATTAACAATCAACTGTGTTCACTGACACCTGTCAGTTGCGCACACAGGACACTGAGGTGACTATTGCAGCTGGGGACAGATCTTTGCTGTGCCTTGGTTTATATCCACCAGTTCTGAAGTCCCGCTCAAGTGAAGAGGCCACAGCAGAGCGTGCCACCATTAACATCGCCAGCACCTAGGCACCTCTAACACACAGCATGAGGCAAATTAGAAAAGCCGCAAAGGGAAAGGAAGGTCTCAGAAAACTATCTTGGGAAAAAGATCACTGTTTTTCTCACACACACAGGGGTGAGTTCAAATTAATTCACAAATTAACAGACTTAATCAATTTACTGTTAACCAACATTTTAAAAACAATTTTTAAAGAACTTAAATTGAGATGCCCCCTCTTGTCGTCTAACAAATTTAGGTGCTCACTGTTAGCAGCTTAATGACACAATTTTCACAAAATTCCAACAGGATCTGTGTGGGGAGAAAGGAAGACTTGATGCCACATCCCTCAGTTTTATCCGGAAAACGTAACAAATAGGAAAGAGTTGAACAGAGGAACTAAGGCAGAAGGGTGTTCCCGAGCAGACAGGAAAAGCACAACAAAGGCGAACAATTAGAATCGTGTGGGACAGCCACAGGCCTGAAGAGGAAGCCCAACGAGCAAAGGCAGGTGCACGTTCAAGCACGATCACGCATCTACGCTAGGAAGTAAGACAAGGGACTGACCAACAAGCAGGGTTGGCTGCCATGCAGAGAAAAATAAGAAAACAGCTTGGGAGCCTTGATAGACGACGTTTAAACGTCTGAAGTGGAAGATCTCAGCAGCCGACCACCACGCCTCCTCCAAGTCAGAAGGAACTGCCGCCTGAGCACTTGGTTCCCAGCTTCCCAAGAGAATACCCCAGCCCTGGGGTTCAGTCACTGCTGTCTGCCCGCCTACGCTCGGTACCCCTTCTGCCTCTCCTGGTCCCTCTTACAACCGCATCCGCCAGCATCTTAGAAGATTCCAGAAGAACTTAAAAGGGAAGTTTGTTCTAGACAGTCGGGGATTCCCAGTTCTTTGAGCTGTGCCAAGGTTGACAGCCACCCTGATATGAGAGTTGCCAGATACCAAGAAGAAATCTTACCTGCTTCCTCTTTTCAGGGGGAAGTGATGGATCTCCGTCCTACAAGGAAACAAATACGACATTTTACTTCCTGAGAATAAGCCCAGACTCAGCATGGAATCTCAACCCTCAGCTGGACCAAACTGTGAATCTAAATTCAGACCAATCCCCATTAGCCATGCAGCTAGTAAGGTGAGGATGCAAGCTTGACAACTCTTTAAAAATAACTCCCACTTGATAGAGGACCCCAGAGAATTGGCTCCAATCAAGACCAAACATGTATTTTCCAAAATGATGTTTCTAAAGGAGAAATCTAGATGGGTCGAAATTACTTCAGAGCAGAGCAGAAACTGAGCATAAAATAGTATCTCATTCAGTTGAATTTCTTTCAGATAGAATAAAAATAGTGACTGACATGCATTTTGACTTATGAAAGTTGAGTTCTCCCATTTTTGCCTTTGGGAACATAAACCTCTCAAGAGAACAAATAAACGCTCGCCAAATGAACAGCCTTTACTACTACTATTATAGTTTTAACAAGACAACATCTGTCTATGTAGCCCAGGTTGGCCTCAAACTCCCCATTCTCCGGCTTTAGCTCGCCAAGTGCTGCGGTTACATACCCAGCTAAATAAGTACTCTTACAAAGACACTAGTCACATATCTATCCATGCTATTTGAACGTGAAGAATATTTCTATTTCTACTCCAGGACAGTTGAGTGGTCCCAGGCAAATGATGAAATGTTGATACTAGTGCTTGCACTTAGTGGAAACTGGGCACACACTTACAATCTCCGGGCTTGGGAAGTGAACACAAGAGGACCACGAGTTGAAGGCCAGTACGAACGACACAATGAGTTCTAGACCAGCCTGGGACACACAGCAAGAACATGTTGACAGAGGAGAGGGACCGCATCAATGGGAGGGGAAGAAGCCAGGGTGTGAAGCTGCATTACCCCTCTGGGTCTATCTGACTTGCAGCCTTTTAAAAAAAACCCATAAGAACCCAAGGGAAAATCAAGGGCATGGGTCACATAGTTCCCTACCATGGGGACTATGCAAAGGCTCCAGAGGAGATGTGATGGCTATTCTTGTTGTCAATTTGACTACATCTGGAAATAACTAAAATCCAAATGGCTGGGCATTCCTGTGAGGGATTTTTTTTTTTTTTTCTTAATTAAACTGTTGGAAATGGGAAGTTCCATTCCTATCTGTGTCTTTGAGACAGGACGGTGCACCTTTGATCTGGGCCAACCTTATGCAGCATCCTCTATAAAGGGCACAGATGAATAAAGCTTGCTTGCTTGCTCTTATTGTCTCTGGCAAGTCCATTCCTTTGCTGGCATTATAGTCTACGACTTTGGGATTGCAGCACTTACTGCAAACCAGATGAGACATCCAGCCTCCTGGACTGAACAACTACTGGGTTCTTGGGCCTTCCCTTGGCAGACAGACATTGTTGGATTAGCTGGACCACAGCCTGTAAGACATTCTAATAAACCTCTCTCTCTCTCTCTCTCTCTCTCTCTCTCTCTCATGGTGTGTGTGTGTGTGTGTGTGTGTGTGTGTGTGTGCATTCATCCTATCAGTTCAGTTCCTCTATAAAACCTTGACAAACACAGGTGACTTCCGCATTTGTACAAGGCCTAGGAAGCCTTCTCTGTAAAGTGCTGGATACAGAGAGTCTATTTCAGACAGCATTGGCACATGTTGCCCAGCAGAACTCCATGCTGAGCCAGAACAGAACAACAGAACAGAACAGAACAGAACAGAACAGAACAGCATCCACCATGGGAGCTCTGAACCCCTATCCTACAGCAGCTTCAGTCACCTGTGGGGTTTGGGCACAATGAGGGACTAAATTTCTTGTTTTCTTTAATGCCAATTAACTTAGTTAAGTTGGCCAGCTGTGCAGCTGGCAGCTTCTGCATCAGCACAGATTTAAGATACTCATGCTCTTTAAAATGACAAGGCAAGTCCATCATCTACAGACCAGTAAGGAAACAGCCACAGTAAACACATGTGGACATGTTATCGTCACACGTGTTAGATCCAGAAGCCCGGAAGGGCATACATGTGGAGCAGGCTGTAGAGGAAATAGGCGGTATACACATCTTTACTGGTAAACTTTGGTTTGGTTTGGGTCAGGTTTTGTTGTTGCTTGCTTGCTTGCCTGGACAGGTTATCAAGTTTCTAACCCAGTATATAGCCAAGGAAGGCCTCGAACCCAGATGCCCCTGCCTCCACTTCCCAAGTTAGGGGACCAGATGCCCCTCCAGTGTCAGACTTACAATCAGCTCTCGGTACTTCTTCTTTAGGGACTGGTGTCGTTCTCGAAGCTGATTAGCCATGAGTTTGTACTGGTCCCTCTCCTGCTGACAGGTGTCCAGCTCCTTGGAGAGGATCAGCAGGGCCTCTTTCTTGCTCTCCAGCTTCCGTTTACACACCAGGTACTGCAGGACAAATGGCCACTGGTCAGAAATGGCTCCTACACGGCCTGTGCACTGCGTTCCCCAGCCTCTCCTTTCTCACGATTAGGGCTCACACCACTCAGACACTCGCCAGTGGCGTGCATGTAGAAAGACTGCCGCGTCACCTGACACATGGCGCTCTCAAGACAGAGCCAAACCTTAGCTGTCCCTGAACTTTCATGAGCAGGGACAGATACGATAATTTATTTGCAGATACTTTCAAAAGTAGAACTAACTAATAAAGCCAGCGAGATGACTTAGCGGGTCACAGCACTTGCCATCAAACATTAACGGCTTGAGTCTGATCACCTGAGCCCGTAATACAACAAAAGAATCATTCGCAACCTCATCTTCTGACCTCTACACATGTAATGCGGCATACACACAATACACATGCATGTAATAATAGTAAAGAAGAATTGTTTTTAAAATTACATATAAGGATAAATATCTGGATCCTAGATTTATCTAACATGGTGCATATATATATATATACGTGTGTGTGTGTGTGTGTGTATACATGTATATGTATATATTTATTTATATATTTAAATTTTACAAAGTGATACAAAGATTTTAGCAAAAAAATTATAAATATTGACAAGAATCATCTCTCACTAGTAATTTCTTTTCTTCAAGCTTTAAATCTTTTCCTTACTTTTTTTCCACTTTTTTTTCTAAATTTTTGAGGCTATGTCCACACGCTGTCGATCATAAAAATAACCCCAAGACATTATGAAACTTCTTTGAACCATAAATCACTGCACTTGATCCTTCCCACCCATGAAACCAAGCAGTCATTTTTCCCGTGGACAGTTAGTTCCCTAACTCGGCACTGATCTGTGAACCCTCTTCTAGGATCAAACACAGGTACCCACCCATCACCAGAGACTGATTCCAGGACTCAGTATCTTTGCCACACTCTGAATTCTCCTGTCCTCGAGCAACAGCATCTTCCAGCTTTGTTTCCCCTCCTGCCCAGCACCAGGAATGATGCTCGGCCAACAGTCCCACCATAGTGGTCGGTGCGAGCCCAGAGAAGACTCTACTCTTACTGGATATATTACACTGCCTGGCGTTATTCGCATATGTGAAACGTGGCACTAAATACCTTTTGAATTTTCCCCCATAAAAGACCAAATTCAGAGCATTCATGAAAACAATTTATAGTTTCATTATGCACCCTGACACGCGTGCTTTGTCATTGCGGGCGCTCACACAAAGCGCGGCGAGAGCTGGCACTGCCATACCATTTGAGCCAATGCTCTTTGCGGACAAAGAGCATTACTCATATATAGTGCTCGCTCAAAGCTGACTTTGTTAAGTTCAATTCCAAATAATTGAAAGGGGGAAAAGAGAGAGAATCTAGTGCATTAGCGCATTTTTTTTCCCTTTAAGAAAAAAAAATAATTGCTTAGTTTCAAAAACAAAGGGGAAAGAAGAGCCATTCTGAGGCAGATCTGAGCTCTGAGAAAGGACACTTCACCTGGTGGAACTTGATTCCCTGCAGGAATGAGAATGAGGTTGGAACCCGGCCTTAAAACACATGAGATTTTGGGACTCTGACATTGTCTGCATGATGCAAAATGGTCCCGTTGCCATAGTGATTTCTTAAGAGTCAAGACCCCGACAAGTAAATAACAGAGAGGTGAGTGACTTGAACCCCTGAACTACAGTGTCCCGAGGAAGGCGCTGAGATTTCACAGGGGATGCATCACTACGCATGACTTAACCCATCTGCCCTTGTCCTCCTCTATCCCCCCCAGCCGGTGGCTGGGGCTTTGGGTGTTAAGTGGCACAAAGATCCCATTCACGGCATTCATACCTGAAACCCCAGAGATGTCCAGCGTCTTTGACTTTAGGAAAGACATCCCAATTGTACCAAGACACTTCAGTAGGTAAGCTGGTATAGAACACCCATCTCAGGAAGGGGATAGTAAAGGCCACTCTGGGCCGAGAAAGCAGAGATTCAGGTCCCCTGCCCTGATCCAAAAGAAAAAAAAAAAAACAAACAAACAAAAAACATTTCCCTCCCAAGGCACAGTGCAAGTTGGAAGCCGTGGAAGGCAGTAAGAAAACTTTGGCTTCTGGCTCTGTGGAACCTGGTGGCAGCCAGACGTGGAGAATGCTGGCATCGCTGCTACACTCACAAACTCGGTACGGCCAAGGTTACTGGCACAAGAGCCAGCCGACAAGATCCATGAACTTTCCACAAGGCAGCACCAATTTACACAGAGAAAAAAAGAGGACATGAGGCATGAAGGAGACATGTTGGGGAGGGTCTGGGGTGAGCAGAGAAAGCGGGGTAGGTGTAACATACATATGCATACATGGCCACTCAGCCATCCTTTCCTCTGCTTGCTATGGTCCAGAGAAGCGGTCGTCAAAACGCCAGCCACACTATTCGCTTTTATCGGCTGAAGCCTCACTTAGGAAACAGCCCAGAGTGGGTCTGAGCGAGTGGAGAGTTGTCTTAGCATCTGCACCCATCCGCGGGCAGCACTGAGGGCCCAGGCAGATGGAGTGTAAGTGGAGAGCAGAGGCTGGACAGAAGCAGGTTCTCTGACTGCAGATCCTCCAACTCCCGCTGCCTTGATTTCCCTACCGCAGTGGGCTACGCCGTGAACCGCGAGCCAAAACGGACACTTGCTCCCTTAAGTCGCTTTTGTCGGAGTATCTTATCACGTTGCGTGACTCTCCTGTCCTTTCCCTATTATGACTTGGTCTTGAGCTGTGCCCGGTCTGAGACACTGGTTACTTTCAGCATGTCCCCTGGGACAGTAGAGACTTCATCACATTCATCCCATGTTCCCAGTGCTGAGAAAAATACATGGTCCACAGCAGGTGCTCAACACACGCACTCAGAGATGACATACGTATGTACAAGGTATAGGGCTGTAGATAAGATAATGTATGTGTTTTCTCCTTTATCCTGTATATGCACACGCGGAACACGTATAGAGTGAATAAGGAGAATGTGAGCACGTAAGACATTGCTCACAGCGGTGGATGAGGACCCTTCACGTGTTATCTAGGGCTGCAGCAGACCTTGTGGCAAATTCAGCATTGCCTCCATTTCAGACTTCCTGACTCTGAATCACCAGACCAGGAGCTCAGTGTACAGAGGAGGGGACTGGAGCTCAGCATGGGGAAGGGACTTGAATAGACAAAGCTAGTCAAAGTGGGTGTTTGTCTCACTCCAAGTTCACAGCTCGTTCCAGAGAGTAAATGACTTCAAGAGCTTGGCAAGGAGAGGGAGGGAGGGAGGGAGGGAGGGAGGGAGGGAGGGAGGGAGGGAGGGAGGGAGGGAGGGAGGGAGGGAGGGATGCAGGCCATGTATTCAGAATTGTAATGAGTAGTTTTTCCCTGACGGTCTGGTCTGGACCCATCGCGGCACCAGCCCCAAATAACAAACAGAGACCCTGTATTAGATACAATTTTGTTGGCCAGTTACTTGTTTCTTATCCGCTAGCTCTGTCTTAAGTATTAACCCATTTCTGTTAATCTAAGTATTTTCACGTGGTTTCATCTTACCGGGGAATGGGCTGGCGTTGTGCTCTCTCTGGTCTCTCCATCCTGACTGCTCCTGACTACTTCCTCTTCCTCCTTGTCTCCTAGTCCCTCCTATCTTGCTTTCCTATTGGCCAACAGTGCTTTATTCATTAACCAGCATGAGAACCATATTTACACAATGACATCTCCTATTACGGAATAATGCTTGAAGGTTTTGAGATGGTCACAGTAGGCATAGACAATGATAAGCAAATATTTTGATAGCTACTAGTCACTCTCTACCCTGGACTTTAGCAAGGGGGATTAAAAACTTCCCTCCAAGGGACAATGCGGGGTATAGTCATGGTGGAAATCGTGGCTGGAGCCAGCATGCCTGAGCTGAGCCACACTGGGGTCCAGCCTCCCTGTTTTCAAATAGAGATGGAGACCACGCCTCCACAGGGCTGACCTGCGAATTTAAGAAGTTAGCATTGGTGACGTATCTAACGGTGTTAACTGTAACTGCCATGACTTCCACTCAGATAGCTTGGTGAGTGGGAAAATTCACTGGAGGAGGGGGTGGAACAGACATGGAGCCTGCAGGTCATCCATCAGGAGGGGGCCAGAGGTTACTGTGATAGGCAACAGGAAGCAAACAGAGCTCTAGCAGAGAGGCTAAGGTGTGGGCTCCCTAAAGACATTGGGGTTGCACAATGAGTGGCAAGGGTGGGTTTGGCCAGGGGGCTGTTTGGGGCCAAGGTAGAGAGATAAATGATGCCTAGGGGTGCAGATTTGGCTGAGCAGTTCAGATTCTCTTCTCCTAGGAAGGAAGGAGGAACCCAGGGCCTCTAGCTAGGGGAAGGTCATTCAGAGTCTTTTCATGGGGAAACAGCTACCCTGCCATGGGGGTAAGTCACACTGGCCTGCACAGCACGGGCCTCTTTGCCATGCAGGCCACACTGGGAGGAAAAGGCCCTGAGGCCCTCGCGTTCTGCAGTGGGATCTGCTCCAGCAGGCCTCCGCAGAACACCCTGGCTCTGCGATTTCTTCCTGAGGTCTGTCCTCAGCTTGTCTAATATAACGACGTTACACAGGGCATTCCCCAGACGACCAGACACACGAGGAATCAGCCCCAGCCACAGAACCTGAGATGGGGATCATATCGGTGGGCCAGTGAGTCATGTGACAGCCCCACCACACTGGAAAGGCTGTGAGCGGGACAAACTCAGGAAAATACCCGGCTCTCTAGCCCCTTGGGTGGAGCCAAGCTTCCACCTTTATTACCTTTATTCCTTCACTATTGGTTGTTAGTCAAGTAATCCTGTTGGCCAAGCCCACAGTTGGAATATGAATGGCAGATTTTTCTCTCTCTTCCCAATTTCAAGACAGGAGACATTCCATTTATTTTCAAGAAAGGGGAAGGACCAAAGACATTGGTGTTTGAATGTTTGCCATATGTCCAGCATTCCTAGAAGTAATGAGGACTTCAT